TTTTACCTCAAATTTTATTAATCGAACCTAATTTCGTTTATATTTAATATCATTTCGTTAAAAATTTCTCCGTACCTTCAAAATAAAAATAAAAAAGAAAATAAAAGGGTAAAAAAAGAATAAAGGAAAAAATAAAATAAAACAAAAAAAGGTAAAAATATATATAAGAATATAATAATAAACATATATAAAAATAAAAATATAAAATAATATAAAAATATAAATATAGATAAAAAAAAATAAATAAATAAATATACTAGTTACACTACACTATACTACAATGCAACTACACTACATTACCCTGCGCCACACTACGTTAATTATCGTTAATTACGGCGCCACACTACGTTAATTATCGTTAATTACGGCACACTACACTACAACTGCAGCTACAACTACACTACTTCACACTACACTGCACTACAGTACACTACACTACAGTGCACTACGCCACACTACATTACCCTATTACACTAAACTAATTGCACCACACCACAACTACAACTACAACTGCAACTGCGCTACACTAATCACACTACATTACAACTACAATTGCACTACACCACACTACATCCAGCAGTTTTGGGTGAGGTGACCATTGCAACCATTCCAAAAAACACAACTCCAACCACCTTTCGGTCCATCAGTGGATTCGCTCTGCCATCCATGCATCACAACAACTCACTCCCCTATCCTATCCTTGAAACTTCCGCCACCGCCTTGTGCGGTACTACTGGTAACTTAACTTATACCTAGGGGCCACAACCTTGTACCAAGTATATATAAACATACCCCATGCACCATGCGCCTACTTTGTCTTTGGTGCTTCTTCAGCGCCCCGCACCGCACGCGTCATCCAATGATGAAAGTCGAATAGCTACATAGCACCTGTTCTTTTTTTACCAGCTTGCTGCTTCTCCGGTACGGCGCCACCTTTCATCTTCTGGCTCGGGTTCGCCGAAGTAATCCTCAAAGCTGGCCACAGCAATGCTTAGCACGGTCCACAGAAGGCTTGAAAGGACACTTGTTCAGCGGGGGTGCAAGTTGTTTCTCGGAGCTTGCAAGTTTGCCAAAAAATAAGCCATTACCTTGAGACAGTGTGTGGGCAGGCTGGTAATTCTAGGCACACAACTTGCCAATCACCATCTTCAAAGCAATGGTGATGCATCCACCAAGCATCCTTCCAAGCAACTTGCAGGTCCGCAACCACTTCTATGGAGCCACCCAATGCTAAGCAACTGTGTTCTTGCAACCCTGCCTCCCCGAGGTCTGCAAACCTCAGAGGAACCAAGCTTTGCTTTCAACAAGCATCTATTGAACATTGCAACCAATCAACCAATATGTCTAACAAAAACATGTGCTGTGAAACTTGGGCGCGAACTCTTCCTTCGTACACCGTACTTTGCCGAACGAGTCCTTCGGTGCCTGAGGCAAGGCGCGCATGGAAGATAGCCAGGTCTTGGAGCCACAAATCATCGAATCGAAGCGCCCAACTTGTTTCGCCAAAAATCAAAGCACTGAGGCGACTGCGCGCTTCATGCATCGCCAGCAAATGCCATCGTTGCAGCCACCAATGCGGCCGTCTGTCCTGAAAGGCGAACATCTCTTTTGGAATGACGCGCTCAGGAAATGCAGCGCCTATAGATGTTTATGCGCGTGCTTTGAACTTCTGGCATGTGAGCTGGTCAACCACATAAGAACCTGAAAAGGATTATCTTCAAATGAATGCTTCTGCTCTGCCCTGTGCATGTTGCAGTGTCAAAGTTGTAAAATAAGTTGGACCGCAAAAAGATAGAGCTGCAAACCAGGTACTGAGGAGGTGCATCTGGGACCAAAGCTGACCAATCGGACTTCGCATCATCTTGAAACTCGTCTATGCCAAAGATGTATTAAGCGCTCGCTGTGTCGCACTACAGATGCTGTCAACTCGCAAAGAGCACGTTGCCATGCCTTCGCCGGCGGCAATAGATTCCGCCTTGCTCCTGCATACCACCCAAAACAAGGTGCTCATGCAATGATGGACACAGATGATGATGGTGATCAGATGGTGATGATGATGATGATGATGACGGTGATGATGACGATGACGATGACGACGACGACGTCACTCGTATAAAGTCCTGCTGGGACTTGCCACAGAGGCGGCACATATCACCGGATTTCCTTGGCGCTGCGCTGTGTGAGTTTCCAACAACAGAAACCTGAATGAAACATTTTGAAAGACCAAGGACGGACTGTGCGGGACAGCCGGGAAGAAACCCTTGCCAACTCTGCTGATTTGCATTGGGCCCATTGGGCTTCTGACATCCAAGCTGGCCCAGGAGGCGGCTCAGGAGCCTTGAAGCCAGTGGGATCCAGTGGGATGCAGTTGGATCCAGTCACAATGCAGGAACCGCTCAGGCTGGACAAGTGTGCCCACTTAGGCTGGAGCGGACTTTGAAGCCACCTCCAAAATGTTGGGGGTGACCAGGAACTGAATATTCGTAAGTGCACGGCTTGATTTTGATAGAACATCATGGAACATCTAGTAAAACGATCTAAAGCGCGGGTCAAACGCACGTGAAAGCACACATGAGAGATCTAGAATTTCTTCTTGCAAAGCCATAGCTCCGCTCGCATGCCTCCAGTGCCCTTCCCAGTAGCTCTGATTTCTCGAAAAGGTCTGAATGAGAGGTATTGTGCCTGGCAGCGTGGCTTGATCCAACATCGCAGTCATGGCCATTCATTGTTCAAAAAAGACGGTGCCAATTTCAACTCTGGCATCTTGGAACCAAAAGGAATAAAGATGAGCAAAACCTGACAATGCTTTTCCTTACCAAAGCTCATGCTCACAGATGTGGATTTCAACTCTTCGTGCCTATCGAGATATGCTTTCAGTTCTTTGACCTTGCGTGGGGCAAGCCATTTGGTTCGTGAACTGTTGCCTGAAAACCATAACACGTTCTACTATGCTTCTGCCTGGGAAAAAGCTTCAGTTTGCTCTGAGGCTTCTGGCTGACATTTTCTTGATGCGCTCCTTCTCTGCTTCCATGGGATCCACAGCCTCCTGGCAAGACTTCAAAACTGCTGGAAGGCAAATGACAGATTCTTTGCAAGTCGCTCCTTTGGCTTCTTCTCAGCCTAGGCGTGATGCAAGAGTTCAAACCAGTAATAATCCAAAATCCGTTTGCAGTTCCAAAAGCCAACTACCACAGCTCAGTTAAATCAACTTGAGCCTCAATGACCAATAAGGGATCAAAGCAGGAAAGCCCAAAAACATACATTTGCCTATTTACATCCATCTACCACAGTACAATTTACTTTCTTTTTGGTCCGCACTGGCCAACCATGGTTTTGCACGCCGCGCCAGCGCGCCATGGAGACCTGAGATCGCGACCGTTGCGACCTGAGCCTCTGCTGCATCAGCAGCAGCTCGCGCCTCTGCGAGCTCCTTGGTTTTGCAAAACGCAGTTGTCTAAAGTCTAAAGCTGCAAACAACTCAAAAGCTGATGTTCTTCAGCAGCTTCTGAAAAGTGCGGGAAAATTACTATCTTGCCACATGTCAAAGATTGACCATCACATGCGTTTCCAGCCTTCTCGCCTCCGAAGTAGGCACGCAAGTCTGATGGTTCCATGCACCTTGCTTTCGAAATTACCCCGTTCATATTTCTCATGAGAATGGCTACCCTCAAAAACACACTCATACAATCATACAGCTGCAAAACGAGGAGTTCAGTCTTGATTGCAAAGAAAGGATCACATAGCTTCTGTCTGGCTGAGTTTCTTCACTTCTGCGGCTTGGGTCTAAGTTTGGAGCCCTTCGTGCATCCACCAGGCAGTGTCCTCCAGAGATTCAAACTCCTCCTTGGTCCTGAACACAATGGTAGAAGCTCAGACCAAGTCTTGCCCGTATCAATCAGAAGGGATCAATGTCTCAAAAAGTGAGGGGGGTATCAAAATCACAAAGCCCAGAAAACCGATGTGAGTAGCAAGCATGCCAGGCAGGCGTTCGAACCTGCAGACCAAAAGCCACAGCTCTGCCGGTCGTAAACCAAGTCTTGATGGATCGCTGAGAGGAAGACCATTCCAAAGGACGACCGTGGCTGCTTCTCCATGCAAACCTCAGAGATCGCGAAATAACAGAATGCTGATGCTCTGGAAGATGTGGTTGGGTTGGTTCGTTAACGCAAAAAGTTCCAACGCCTAAACACAAAGATGGTGAGGACCGCCAGTTCGCGAAACACAATGCACAGCAAAAAAGCAGCAAGATTCCTGTCTTTGGTCGCATCAATGTCACAATCTCTGCATCACTGCTTGAGATCCTGACCCAACAAACCCCTTTGCTGCAGCCACCAATGGCGTTCTTCCGCTTTCTTCTGCAAATCTCAGGCATGCCACGGCGCCCGCAAAGCTGCATTGAGGAGAAACTTGAGGGACTTCAGTTTCCGGTTCAAATGGGCAGAAAACATAGGATCAACATGGATCAACTATGAATACTCGAAAGGAAAGAAACAGCCTCACACTCACAAACACAGAGAAGTTGCAAGAATTGCAAGACCTAAGTTCAGTGCTAGAATTGCAAACCAAAGCTGAGATGGCTACCACGCCGTGTGCTTCAGCTTGGGATTTGCCAGCATCACCACAAATGCTGCCTCAGAATCACATGAATACCGCGTTTGGAGTCCAGGACGTTGAACAGCATACAATCCCCAAAACACTGTGAGACCGCAACTTTCAGCCAAAACGCACACGGCTGCAGTTCGATGTGCGTTGGTGTGCTATCTTTGATGGGAGCCAAAAACATATTCCAGATGTGCAGAACATCGTTGGAAGGGGGTGTCCTACTAGTGTGCATCCGGGATATTCTTGGGGCATCCTGAGACCATGTGACGACGTCTCTTTCGGGAATCTAGTGACAGAATCTAGAATCTGACAGAAAGAAGTGGATGAAAGTGACCATTCCATGGGCTCATACTGTCAGTGATCCACCATTGCCGGAACATGGCCCAAAAGTTCCCTGTTGAACCTAGATCCCAGAATACATATGAACAGCCCACGACATCCCACGGCCATGCGCATGTGGCACTGCCAGGGGACATGGAGCTCCCAGCTTCAGCCAGGCAGGCCACTCCTGTGTCAAGGTGCTGAATCCAAATCGCGAGGAGAGCGGTACCAAACACACCAACACAAACAAATAACCAGGGAAGCAACGCAGAAAAACCTAAATCTTGAGAATTCTGTACTTGATCAGGACAATCAATGTCCGCCAAACAGCTCTGCAGCTTTTCGGGACTGAACCCATTGCCTCTGGCTTCGGCTTCTCTGGTTGACGGGCCTGCCAGCGTGATGCGAGGCACTTGCACAGGTACGGCAGACTTCATCCCTTCTTTCAACCCGCATGGCAGCACCTGCACCTAGATAGTTTTTTCGGAACCACACCAAGGGATCGTTTTGAAGCAAACCAAGCCAACATCGGTTGTTTTAACGCTGAAGAATGTGCCTCGTATGACGAGTCTTTGAGTTCCACACTTTGACAATATAAACGACATACTGGAACATTAATATGCACTGAAGGCGACCAGGCATGAAAGCCGCATTTGACATACCAAGCCATCCCCGCAACATCAGGGCCTGTGCTGCTTGCGCAGCTTGTGCTGCTTGTGCAGCCTGTGCGGCTTGTGCTGCTTGAGCAGCTTGGGCTGCTTGCGCTGCTTGAGCAGCTTGGGCTGCTTGTGCAGCCTGTGCTGCTTGCGCTGCTTGAGCAGCCTGTGCTGCTTGTGCAGCCTGTGCTGCTTGCGCTGCTTGAGCAGCCTGTGCTGCTTGTGCAGCCTGTGCTGCTTGCGCTGCTTGAGCAGCCTGTGCTGCTTGTGCAGTCTGTTCGGGAGTTTTTGCTTGCCCTGCTGGTGGTGATTGGGCTGTGCTTTGCGGCATGCCGGGCCTCATTACAAAGCAAGAATTAGAAAGCATGTTACCTAGTTGATGTTGTCAATATGTCCTCAATATGTCCAATTTGGCTACTCGAAAGCCGCGAAGGAAGCATGCAAAAGTTGCATCGTCTTGCAATTTCGAGGTACTATCGATGAAAAGACGCACTATCCCAAATACGGACTTTGTTATTATTGTGCTTACCATTTCCCCTTCTTTGAACTGCCAGCTCTCCCAAAGGTTCTGCTGGGCTTATGGCATTGCCATTCCTGGCCTCGATGGTGCACAACATCCGTCAGCTGACAACTGCTCTGAAACAAAGGATATATCCCTTTTGCTGCAAATCAGCTAGGGTCCTTACATCATTCCTGGCATCATGCCCATCATGCCCATCTGCTGCCTTAGGCTGGCTCTCAGGGGGAGGAAGTACGTCGCGACTGTGCCAATTGCATGCAAGCAACCCACTACATGAAACTAGTCTATGTTCTGTCAAGGGAAAGGAAGCAGAGAAAGGCTTTGAAGTTTGAACAAACTGTGTCTGTACCCTCTTCAAACTTGCAGCCCTACGAATACATAGAATGCGGCAGGGAAGACTGGCTTGTGTCTTGTGCAGCTTGTTGATAGTGGGATACCGGGATACTGCTGTCGCTAAAGAAGCCAAAAAGTCCGTGAGTGCTCTACAAAACAGTGCGGTCTTTTCAATGCCTAGAGGCCTCATTCATTCATCATGAATGTAAAAGTCACTACAGTCACTACAGCTGCTACCCATGACTGAACACAGAAGTCACCAAGACATAGCGCAAACCTCCCGGCGTCTTGACGATGCTACAGCTGGATTGGCAATTGAGTGTTAGTTAATTTAAGGAGTCATCTTCACACGCCTCGTACAAGAACACCCATGGCCAGTGAAAGTTCTGATCCCAGCATCAGTGGGACAACCTGGTTCAGCACTCACCAGCTGAGAAATTGCAACTAGGGCTGCCCACATCATTTGCTGCATCTGCTGAAGATTTGGCATTTGCCTAAGTTCAGACGGCAGCTTGGGTGGGGAAGCGAACTTTGACTGATCCGCCTATGAGCAAAAAACATGCTTGGTGCTAGCCCGGGTTTGAAGAGCTCTGAATCACACAACAAGTGTTCAACTTGGAGCCGAAAATTTCCCAAGGAGAATAGGTAGGTAGGTAGTTATGTGATGTTATAGTTCAATGTTGCAGTCATTTTGCAGTCTCTAAGGAGGCAGGAGTTTGCTACACCAAGTTGCTGCATGTTGGGCATTCCAGGCATGGCCATCCCCTGCATAGCCATGGGGGACGCTGCCGCAGGTGCCGCAGGTGCAGGTGCTGCAGCCTCAGGCGGAAAATAAGTGTGCGCTTTGAACACCTGGAAAGCTGGAACTGCTAAGCCCAGAATGAGACAATTATCTGCCAATTGGTTTCTTTCACTCATCTAGCAGGCTTGCTACTTAAGTTACTTGTTACAATAAGTCCGCAAAAGATTGAAATGCTCATCATCCCTACCTACAGGTAAGTACCTATGCTCGGGGAAATAAATATCAGGAAGCTACGGCTCAAAATTGTGGACCCTTTATTTCGGAATGGTTATATAAATGGTTAACACAAACAGTGCAGTTGCTTTTTCTGTGGGTCCATTTCTGCCACAATTTCGAGTCATACTGAGTAATCCAAACTCCGCCCCCACGTCACCTGTGCTGGCTCTGGTGCTTTGGCAGGTGTCTTTGCCTGGTGGACAGTACCCTTTTTTTTGGACCCAACATCCGAATGCATGTTCCAATCGGGTTCATATTTTTGTTTGGCATAGCATCACATCCGTGGTATAGGCCCAATAACTTTCATTATCTCAAGAATTGGATCCAAGAAAATGGCCCCGGAGAGCACAAAAATCTGGTCTGCAAACCCTTCCAGTGGCCTCTCCTTTCACGAACTTCTTCTTAAAGAAACGGTGGTCTGGATGGATCTGCCATGGAGCTGACGGTGATGGGATGAGCATGGTATGGCCTTGAAACAACTCCCTACTTGGACCAGAAGACCTGCGAGTGGAACTTTACAACGTGATTTGCTGAGGTTCCTATGAAAATGAAATCAACAAGATGCAGCCCACGAACCCGAATGCTCACACGTATGTTAATGGCACAGATGTCGAAACACATGGATATGCAGTCACGCAGAACACTTTTCTGCAATAGTTTATTTGAACAGTCTTGTACATATTTCCCCTGTTACCAGTCTGCAGTGTGGAGTGGAAAGTGTAGAGTGTGGAGTGTGGAGTGTAAAGTGTAGAGTGTGGAGTGTGGAGCTGGAATGTAGAGTGTGGAGTGTGGAGTGAGGAGTGTAAAGTGTGGAGTGACGAGTGTACAGTGTAAAGTGTAAAGTGTGGAGTGTAGAGTGTAGAGTGTAAAGTGTAGACTGTAAAGTGTAGAGTGTGGAGTGTAAAGTGTGGCAAGTGTGGGGTGTGGAGTGTAGTGTGTGGAGTGAGGAGTGTAAAGTGTAAAGTGTGGAGTGAAAAATGTAAAGTGTAAAGTGTAGAGTGTGGAGTGTGGAGTGTAAAGTGTAGAGTGTGGAGTGTAGAGTGGAAAGTGTAGAGTGTGGAGTAGTGTGGAGTGTGGAGTGTAAAGTGTGGAGTGTCCAGTGGGTAAAGTGTGGAGTGTGGAGTGTAGAGTGCGGAGTGTAAAGTGGAAAACGTGGAGTGTAAAGTGTGGAGTGTAGAGTGTAGAGTGTAAAGTGTAGTGTGTGTAAAGTGTAGAGTGTGGAGTGTGGAGTGTAGAGTGTAAAGTGTAGAGTGTAAAGTGTGAAGTGTAAAGTGTGGAGTGTAGAGTGTGGAGTGTAAAGTGTAGAGAGTAAAGTGTAGAGTGTGGAGTGTGGAGTGTAAAGTAAGGAGTGTGGGGTGTAAAGTGTGGAGTGTGGAGTGTGGAGTGAGGAGTGTCAAGTGTGGAGTGAGGAGTGGAAAGTGCAAAGTGTGGAGTGTAGAGTGTGGAGTGTAAAGTGTAGAGTGTAAAGTGTAGAGTGTAAAGTGTAGAGTGTGGAGTGTAAGGTGTGGAGTGTGGATTGTAAAGTGCAGAGTGAAGAGTGTACAGTGCAAAGTTTAAAGTGTGGAGTGTAGAGTGTAAAGTGTAAAGTGTAGAGTGTAAAGCGTAGTGTAAAGTGTAGAGTGTGGAGTGTGGAGTGTAAAGTGTAGAGTGTGGAGTGTAAAGTGTAGTGTAAAGTGTAGAGTGTGGAGTGTGGAGTGTATAAAGTGTAGAGTGTGGAGCGTAAAGTGTGGAGTGTGGAGTGTAGAGTGTAGTGTAAAGTGTAGAGTGTGGAGTGTGGAGTGTATAAAGTGTAGAGTGTGGAGCGTAAAGTGTGGAGTGTGGAGTGTAGAGTGTGGAGTGTGGAGTGTAGAGCAAGCAATGCGACACGTCTGAAGTGCTGCGCCTGCCACGCAAAATGGCGACAGAGATCTCCAAAATGTTGCTCTTGCCACAAAAACTGCAATGCATCGTCTGAAAATGTTGCAAAAGTATGCGCCTGCCACACAAAAAGACTTTTGACACGTTGCCACACAGTTTTTGCAGCTTCCCCCATAGACACAGCGAGGCCACAGGAAAACCAGAGACTCGAGACGAGACACGCGGGCGCAGAAAAACGAGCCTTTCGTGCGAGACCTTTCCAATTTTGACACTTTCGACACGTTATCAAACAGGTTGGAATGTCACAAAGTGCCGCACCTGCCACGCAAAACGACATGACAACCTGCTTGGAGACCTTCGAAAAGGATAGGTTTTGCAGCTTCCCCCATAGACACGGCGAGGCCACAGGAAAACCAGAGACTCGAGACGAAACACGTGGGAGCATCAAAACGAGCCTTTCGTGTGAGACTTCCTCCAATTTTGACACTTTGTAGCCTCAAAATCGACGTTTCCTACGAGTTTCCTAAGGAACCTCTAAATTTGCTACCTCAAAATCGATGTTTCGTGCAAGGCTTCCGTCAATTTTCAGCACATCTCACAAAATGCCACGCCTACCACGGAATCTGCACCTTGTCGCCACTTGACGCAGCCCTGCCAATGCGATTTGCAAAAAACACGCAACACGACACGTCTAAAGTGCTGCGCCTGCCACGTCAAATGACGATGGGCACGTCCAAAGTGCTGCGCCTGCCACGAAAACTGCAACGCATCTTCGGAAAACGTCGCAAAAGTATTGCGCCTGCCACGCAAAACCATTTTCGACACGTTACAAAACACGTCTGAATGTCACGAAGTGCCACACCTGCCATGCGAAACGAAGCAACGAGACGTTTGAAACCTCCAAAAATGACCCCTTCTGCAGAACTTACCATAGGCACGGCCATACGGGGACCGCGCGAACGGTTGCGAACGGTTGCGGACGGTTGCGAACGGTTGCGAACGTAAACGCAACGTCGAGCGAACACACCCTCAGCCCCCAGACCCCCAGAGTGAAACGGGAACCCTTGCTACGCTTTCGGGAAAAAACACTTTCAAAGCTCGAAAATACATACCTCAGTACGAAATGGATGCATGTACCTGCTTTGTTACACCGTCGAACACCACCCTGTTTGTGTCCTCCAGCACTACCCAACCAGCTAACAGAAATGGCCGCCTGCGACTTCTTGTCATAGCACGTCTCGCCTTAATCCAAATCTCTCCAAAAGTTGATTGGTTTCTCCACTTCAATGGCGAGATATCATTCAGAATAGTCCGGGCAGGAGGTGGTTTCGCAACTAAAAATCCAGCATCAGTTTCTTATTTTGCTGCCTAATCAATTTCTACTCAAAAGTTTGAAGTACTGAATATCAAGAACGTACAAAGGTGATCACATCTGTCCTGAACTCAAATCGACAAAAAGGCGTGTCCCTGAAATTACACATCAATCTCCATCTTTATCTTTCCTTTTGGACTTTGGAGCCTCCACAAATCAGCAACCGCTGCGCTGGTCCTTCTGTCCCTCGCTCTGGGTCCGCCGGGCACAAGTCAAAGGACTCACAGACAGAACCTCAACGTCCGCAGCTTGAAAGAAGAAATTCCACCCTGAAGAATGACATGGTTCTGTATCAAAAACCTTAATATCAACAGAATTCAAAAATAACCGGTGAATATGTACAATTAAGGATATCTATTCCTCCATTTATATGTCAAATCATAGCTTTTCACCAGCACACACAGCGTTCCTGAGCGCTGCACATTTGAAGCGATCGCCTCTAATTGGTGACATGTGACACCTAGGGATGAGCACGGAGGCGGGGATTGGGTTGGATTCATCATGGATTATACGGGCACTGGCACAAAAAGTATGGAAATAATATTCAAGAATCATATTTGCGGGGATCAAATGCAACTACCAGCTGATTTGATGTGAAACCGGAGGGTACCAAGGTTTTTACCCATCGCAAAGTAAAGAAACTGGATTTGGAGGATTCCATCCAGCTGGATGGTGTGGCCCCATACCAACTTCCCTTGAAAGTTCCACGTGGGAGACAGCGACTTCAAAAATGGTGCTATCTAAGTTGGGAATCCTCAATTGATGATGAATCATCCTTCTGGGATTCCTCATCACCTGGCAGAGCCACTGGGAATTCGAACCCAGAGCAGCTGATGCCATCGTGCACTTCATCATCATCGTCCTTGTGAATTGTCTGAAGGGATGGTGGGCCCACCACAATTTCGAACCCTACTGAACTTGAATCATTCTTTTGTTTTTGCTAATACCTCAAACCACCATGTCTTTTGTAGCTTTTGTTGTTGCTAACACCATCATGCTGTCTGCGGCTACAAGCAGGAATTTCTGCCCTGTGACTTCCCGGCGTTGATCTGGGCCCCCCTGGCTGGTGGGGCAATCGCCACACCGCTCATGGGCACCGGCTTCCTTGGTGCTCGACCCAGGAAATGGGAGGGTCTTCCCGAAGAATTGTGAAATCTACGGACTACGAACCACCTGAAACCATTGAGGAGTTATTGCACCGAATCACTTTGTTACAGGTTAGAAGTAAGTTGCCAACTACTAACCAAACCAATCCATTACAGTGCTGTCTTTATATGTCATCATTCTCTTTGAGGACCCTCAACTTTCGGTGTTCTCCCCTAAGCTCTGCACCGCTCAGGCGAGGGAGATGCCTAGCACCGCTGACGTATGGTGAAAGGGAAACCACATGAGCTCGCAACTCAGTTATATTTCAATACACCTATCCATGACAATCATATGTATATATACACACACGTGGCAAGAGTTGCACCAATGGTACTCACGTTGCACTGGAAAAACTCGAAAACGGAACAGCCTGAACAATGAAAGCCACCAACCAGCTATGGCATACATGGATTATATGGACATCAAGAGCCCCATAACCAAAACTGGCTGCTCTCCTTCACCCTCCCAAAGTGATTGCGACCTGATGACCCTCTGGCCGTTTGGGCATGTCTGTGCTATCACCTCAGCGAGGCGAGCCAGGCAGTGCAGGGGGATCTATTTCAACTCGAGTGTGGCGAACACAGCCAGAGAACGAACATCCAGGTTCCAAATGAATTCAATCAACATGTCAGCAGCATGGGTCTATTGCTGGTGAGTTGCTTCATCCAGTGTTTGACTTTCATAAAACTGAAATATCTTAAATACCTTAAGCCTGACGATGGTGTGACATGAAGAAGTATCACCATCTCTGGGCTCAAAATCCAACGATTTGGTTCTACCTCGAGGTTCAGGGGAATGTGGTTGGGATCCTAGATGAAGCCTCGCCACCTGTAGAATTTCAATCGCACCACTGTCCAAAATGCAAGGGAACAATGATGGGCTATCTTCCTAAATTCGACCATGGGTCATTTCATATTTCCATTCATTTCCGATTTCTCAAGTATCTCCAGAGACATTGACTATAATTCTTTGGGGACGCTGTGAAATGGTCAAGTTCCAGTGGTTCCCTGTGTCGGCTTTGGGGCCATAACGAATGGAGAAGCTGCAGATCTCTGGTTGACATAGATGTTCATCCCAAAGATGGTATAGGTATTCATCCAGGATATGAAAATCTATGGTATCTTCATATTAAAGAACCTGGGTATTCAGCGAGATGGTTGATGTTAATCCCATATCGGAGCCATCCAGGTGACGGCTTTCTCTGCTGCAGCTCCGTGAAGGTGGCTTCTCTGCCTGCCGTGCAAAACACTCCCGGCGCTTGACCCCCAAAATCATGCAGTTAAAGACATGATCTGATTTCATTCAACCAGCTACATGGCTATTGGTCAAAACCCTGGCACCTAGTGAACCCCAAAATAGCTGGTAAATGGATGTTCACCCATTAGAATTGATAATAATAGGTTTTGACCCACCCCCACATAAATATCATCCAACCATCAACATTGACCTTCAACCATCAACCGAACCAACCGAAGAACACCAAACAACCACAGAAGCAAGCGAGTTCAACCCTTACATGCATCACATGATGCCTCAGCTGCTTTTGCTTCAGCCTCCGCCTTGGCCTTTTCTGCCTTTGACGGATGACTCTTTGTTTCTGGAATGGTGAGATCCCTGGAGGATCCCGATGGTTGAGGATATTGCAGAATTCATTCTGTGAAAGGTTTGTATTTGAGTCCGCAAGGGTTTGAGCACATAAATGATTCGGTCAGCAGGTTTGAGACAAATCAGTGTGAATCGAGGGTGCTCTCAAACTGATTCATCCAATTTTGGCCTGCTCCTCCATCTCTCGTTGCTTCTCTTTCTCCTCAGTACGCAACATGGCACCCTAGTTTGGCAGGAAAACGCCAAACGAACTTTCTGACTTTGCTGGAGTGATCTGAGGTTGGCGAAGAACAGTGGCTGCCAATGTGCTCAAGACCCTTTGTTGCTGACTAAGCAAGCTTGGAACATCCCTGGCTTCGGGCCCATGCCTCACACTCGAATCTTAGAAGCAATCGCAGCAGCTGTGAAGCCAAGTCTCTCTTTCTCTTTCTCTTTCTCTGTCCTTCTCTTTGTCCTCAATGACATTGACTCACCCAGCTGCGAACTGGTGAATGTGAACTATGCAGGGAAGAATTTCTCATTGACGTGGCAGCAAAGCAACATCATGGCGCTTGGAGGTATTGCCCCTTGAAACACATGACAAACGTATATCATTATACATTCTTTATATGGTAGTCTCATTTAGAAGCCAGGAAATCTTCATCAAGTGCCTTGATTTACGGTCATGGACAGTCCGCCACAACGCAACTTGTAAAACTTCCCCGGCAATTTTGTCCTCCAGAATTGACATGTCTATGCTGTTTAAGTAAGAGCTTTAGCTGATGGAATTTGCAACCTTTTACAAGCTATTTCAGGAAATGATTGCAGATCTGGGGTTCAGCCCTGGAAGTATTTATTGTCAATATCCACGTTGCATCCTTGATAAATCCCAATTGTTGATTCTCCCTGTGATCCTAATGACCAGTATAGAATCACACATGGTCCTTCTTGTCTTTGTCCTTGGTCTTCTCACGGTCTTTATCTCGGTCTTTGTCCCGGTCTTTATCTCGTTCTTTATCTCGCTTCCGGTCCTTGTCCTGCTGAGGGAGGCCCTGAGAGTATGAGGGTTCTCTACAACAGTAAATATGCTGGAAATTTTGGAAAGGACGGTGTGAATCGTAATCTCAAGATCTTCCAAAGATCATTCTGCTTTGCAGCAGAGCTCATGTAGCAGAAAGCTGTCTACTTCATGTATACATCTGAAGGATTTTGGCAAGGTGACCCAGCCCTGAAGACACATTTACATTCTCTATCCTTAAAGTAGTCAGCAACTTGAACATTGTGGCTGATTGCGGCGGGCACATCAAAGATGGCAGCAGCCAGAAATTAAGTTTTCAACGAATTGTAGCCCGTATTGGCATGAATCACAGCCCAAGGACTGCCCAAGCTGCTCAAACCAAAATGCCTAGCTTACAGCCTTGACCCAGCAAGAACATGGCCATACCTTGTCTATTCTTGTCCAAACCCTGAAAATGTGACAGCTATTGGAATCCCCGCCAAAATCACCATCACAATTCAGGATGGAGATGGATGAAGATGGACATAGCCCATAGCCCTATATCATATCACTGATATCTCACTGATGGTAGAGCTACAGATGACAAGATCATCCAGAGCTTCCCAGGGCCTTGTCACGGCTTCGATCTCGATTGCCACGGCGATCCCGATCCCGGTCCTCCATGGGCGGATCGTCGATTTCGCTTCGACAAGGAACCAGACATGGACTGGTCATTGAGTCATTTTGTGGATCTAAAAGCCCAACGCCATGGATAATGCATGATGATCCATGAATTATTGATAATTTTTGATAATTGATGAATCATTTTTGGGATAATTGATGAATCATTTTTGGATAATGCATGATGCCAAATGTGCCCGGCGCAAACGCGAATGGTTCCGGATCACTCCCTCTGTTCTCTGCTCAACTGGGCAAGTGTCGATGAACCTGGTGGATTCTAGATGATTCGACTGTCTGGAATGAGAATGGATCATTGCCGTACCTCCTCCAGTCTGTTTTACTTGCTGGAACCAAATCAGCACGGAGAGCCATACATCCCTCCGAACAGGCCACAATACACGGCCGACCCATGTCCTTGTCCCTGTCCTTCTCCTTGTCTTTGTCCTTGCCTCAGGGCAGTTTCCCAAAATCCGAAGCCTGCTTCTCTGCAACCAAGCACTTCTGTTATGACTGCAAAGCCTAATGGCCTCCCAGCGAATCTTCCCCCTTTCTCAGTCTCTTCAGCCCATTCTTGATTCCCCCCGAAAATCCATCTGCCCCTCAACATCGCTATGGTCATTGTTACCCAACCCCAAGCGCGGTGCACTGCTTTCTGTGTTCAACATCCACACCAGCTGCACATGTCGTGCCACAAAAGAGGACTAGGTCAGTCTCTAAGCGTCAGTCAGCCTTGCTTTGTTGGCATGACAAAACTGGGTAGTGAACCGCGGCCCTCCTTGGCAACATCCGGAGGAACATCTTCACTTTAGTCACGTTAGGTCTCAAAAATGAGACGGTTCACCAAACCACTGCAGCACATTCCATGGTTGATACACCTTCCATTGCCAGAGGGACCTGTTTGGGCACCAAAGCTGGCGGGAAAGCAACTGCACCCAAGATCAGTTTTAGAGGAACCCTGAACCGATAGCATTGAGGTGTGCCAACTCCCAAACCTATAAGCTCTAACCCGGAGGAAAACACACCGATTGACAACCACAAACACATGGCCAGCAATGCGGTACAACCGGTGGCATGGAAAGTGCTGCGAAAAACTTGTGCTGAGCTCGCCCTGTGCAAGCTTTGCACGGTATAGATACGCAAATCAATGCACGAAGCGGAAATTGAGCTAAGTGAATTGCTGATATCCGTTGTTTACATCTGGCTACTCGGCAAACTCCTGGAATCCATTGGTCTCAAAATGTCTCAAAGCTCGGACACCTTTTTGGCGCCATGAGAGCCTGCACGCTGGGAGCTGTCTGCATCGGCGAACCAGTTCCTTGGGAGTCTTTGAGAAACCACAGGTAGAGGTGAGATCCTAAAGGGAAGAAGTCATGGTTTCAAAGTTCCATGCTTGGATCAGATTTGGGAGCTCACAAGATTCACAAGCCAGAAAAAATACCATTCACATTTCTAAATTTTGTAAGGGATTTGGAATTTGGAGTTCCCAAGTTTTCACTCTACTTTGCGTAAAGGTTTCTGGCTCTCCCGGTGTGCAGGTCACACAACTCCCAAACGCGGCTCAAAAGTTCATTGATCCACCTGCCGGCGAAGGCTGTGTGACACCACCGAGGAGCTTAAATGCTATGTCTGTGTGACCATTTATTCCTGCACCGCAAACATCCAGACATAGACATCAGGTAACATGAAATTGCATCTACTGCATCTACTGCATCTACTTTACAGCTGGGAATAACCAAATTAGATCAGCATCGAATCCTTTCCTTCGACTGTGGTGAGATGGGTGTTTGCACCACCTCGCTCCATGGGACACTTCCTGTTTCGCCGTGAAAAGATACCCTTCGAAGGCTTCGACAAGTATTTCATTCCGGAGGATCACAACCACCCTTGAAGATATTGAGTTGCTGTTCAAGTCCAGGTACCACTGGTGATTTAATCCATTCCACACTCTTTTTGGTCACGGCAACCAATCATCCCAAGTGTGGTTGAAAAGCAATAAACATTAGACATTTTTAAACCCAACCAGATCATCATTGAGAAGCATCACAAAGATTTGAACACCCCCAACCAACCAGATCACCATTGACATCTTTGGATTTTTTGTTACTCCAACTGGAAACATCGTCGTCGCCTCGACGCTCATTGAGGCACTTGGGTGAAGCCTGGCAGCGCTGGCGGAGAACTGGCTGCCCACGTTGTGCACATGAGAGGTATGGCTTGGATCAAAGATGACCAGCTTGATTGAATATGTTGATCTACTGGTTTGATAATTATGTTCGATATATAATATGATATGATATAATATGTTGAACATTGATGAACTACTCGATATTGAACTGGCTACTGCAAAAAAAAATCAAAGTCGGCTACTAAGAAATGGTATGGCAACAACTCGAAACTCACAACTTTGGATATTTTGACATAGCTTCATCCCATAAAACTCTCCGGGATCTTCACAGAGCAGCAAGATTTCATGGCCTGCTGGCACGGCAGGCACTGCAGGTCGCATGAGGCCAGCCTGACGTGGATGACATCAACTTTAGCATCCTTTGTATCCGAGAAAACATGCTTTCACTCCATCTGCAGTGAAAACGGCTACAACCAATGCACCTGAACAGTCTATACTGAGAAATTGCCTTGGGCACCCTGATGACCACAATGCATAGGTTCGCATCAAAGATAGGAAACCACATACATGGGAGAACTTCAGGCCCCCATTTTATGGCATGAGGGGAAAAGACTGATTTCCGGGTCTTGCTATGATCGTGTCCATGCGATACCTTTGCGCCTTTGGCCAAATGTTGAACATTGCTGAAGTATAATTAGTCATAATTGGATACTTAAGTCACTTAAGTCACAAAAAAGTCCAATTTCATCAATTCCTGCTTTCCGTTTCAGTTTCATTCCAGATCCCTTCTTACCTGCATGGCTGCCATCTCTTGTGGGGAGAGCACGCCGTCACCGTTGGTGTCCAACTGAGTAAACAAGTCCTGGAGGTCATCTGGAGGTGGATTCGACCAGGCTTTTTTTTGGGGTTCCACGGGGGATTGCGCAACGAAATCATGTGGTAAAATGGGTATAAACTTGGCATTTTATCTGGTTTAACACATGGAGCTGTGCCATGGAGATTACCAATGATGTGGCAAAGCCCCCCGTGAAGAACTGCGATTTTTGTTGGTTAAATCCACGTTGATTGCTGAGTTACCAACGTTTTATGGCTGATTGAGTGGGTAAACGCCAGCAATGGAGATGACAAACACTGTGGTTAAACCGCCAATTAAAAACCCATGATTTCAGGTTTATCAAACTTCACAAATGATATCAAACCAATGTGGTAAACCCCGTAAAGCATCCCCCAAAATCACCATAAGTTGCTATAAACCATCCCCAACTGGTAGGTTTACGATTTTTTTCTTTCCCACATTAGGTGGTTTTTTCAACCACATTTGGGTTTAGTTCAAAATAATACAACATTTCCATCAGAGTGTTTTCAACCCCATCTGTTCTGATTTCCTGTTGAACGGTTTCTAACAGCGGTGTCCTGTGGTCCAGTGGCCACTGGAGCCGCCTGTGCCTCAGATGCGGCGATAGAATTAGGTCTCAGGTGAACTCTACGGTTTGTGAATATGAATATGGTAGATGTATCGAACTAGTTCATGGGGTGAAACTAAACCCACAAAAGTTGGGGAGCACCACCCATGAACCGAGTTTCTCCCCAATCCCCCCCATCCATATCCTCCGTATCCCCATGGCCCAGTGGCATAGGTCATTGGTGCCGGCTGGTACTGGTACTGCGCGCCGGTGTAGACCGGAGATCCGCCGTAGACCCCAGATCCAGCGTAGCCAGAAGCGACCTGCTGCGGATTGCTTGGCTGTTCAACAAGAACAGGGGGGTTAATGGGAAAATGGGGAGGTTAACGAGTTCAACCAACAAAGACACTAGCGTTTTAACCAACAAAATTGGGAGTAGAAGGAATGATGACCAACAATAACAGGATCAAATGGGGCAGAAGGAATAATCACATCCGTGGGATATTTTACTGAATATCACATTATTCTTTGTGTCCACAGTAAAAAGTCAAGCCATTCGGCAACCCAAGGTTTAGCCAATTTCATCGGCCTTGCCATGGGGTTCCCTGATGTATTGAAACATGGCCCATGTCAACGCCATCCCTGGTGACTTATGATGATCTGGGTTCTGCCTCAATCATCCCAGAGATCAGGGATGGAGAGCCCCTGAAAGTCAACTTCAACATTTTTTGAAAACGCAACCTGCTCCAGATTCACGATTTTTTCTTCGAAAAACACCTTTAAAGGGTAAGGGGACCAACTGAACCACCCCCACTTCATCAAGCCCAACTCCTGAGGGCCCCACTGGTGCAGCACCCATTGATCGGATAGAGCCCGCCGGAGCAGCGACCTGAGACGTGGCATCCTGGAAGATTTTTGGGATTTAACCACCAAACAAAAAGGAATTTCAGCATCAACAGTGGTAGTTTAAACATCATTTAAGTGTAGGTGTGACCAGCAAAAAAAATGTAGCCTTTCAAAGTTGGGATGCGCCCATCCAAAAACGGGATTGATTCTTTATTGTCACTTTGCGGATGCTGGGTAGGTGTATGCTTGGCTCTTGCAGAGCATGTCAGAGAGGTCAATGAAGCCATGAAAAATAGAGGTAATGGGGATTTAACTATATATATAGCTAATTAAGCAATCGCATTTTGCTATACGTATATATATATAAATTTAAAGGGAGGTGGCAATCCAAAGTAGGCATTTGAGAAGCAAAAATCGTGATTTGACTGCCAACCAAGGGGTTGAAACAAGCAAACTTAGGAGCTTCAACCAACGAAAGAGGCTTCGTATAAATATCACACATGAGGAGAAACCACAGTGATCCTTTCCAGCAGATATAATACCCACCAATCAACACGTGGTAATTCAGTAATTGGCCAACCTCAATGAGATTAAGGACTTATAAGGACTTAGAACCATTCGAATCAGTTTCACTGCACCTCATTTTCCAGGCCAGAAACCCACCAACAAGAAGTGGATTTTCACATTGAACACATGCAGACTAATGACTAATCGGGTTGATGGGAATCAACTTGATATCATGGACAAAGACACCAACAACATTGGAAATATAACATAAAAATAGACTGTAGCTGGGTCTTTTTCCAGCAAACCATGTTTGATTACCAGAGAGTCATATGAAGTATACCCTCTGGTAATTTAACATAGCTATAGAAAATGGCCATTTATAGCGGATTTACCCATTGAAAATGGTGATTTGCCATAGTTCTGTTAGTTTACCAGAGGGTACCTGTACCATATCATATCATTATCCCATTATCCCCTATTAGTCACCAGCAAAATCCTCCACATCTTTGCCATTTTGTTGGTTCGCCTGCGGAGCCGCTGTCATCAATGGGGCCGATTCAGCTGGTGCCTGGCAGTAACTTGACCAATGGATGTGTCGTGGGAGAGTGGACATGTTCTCCACAAGAGGACTTTGGAGGTTTTGGGGTGGTTGAAGCTTGTTGATGTTGACCCCCGCAGACCCTTTTGACAACACCTTGATTGGTGATTGAAAAAATAAAAACTGACTTGGTTTTTTTTTGTCTTGAAGATGAACAGTTAAAGTACTTGAAACTATCAAAGACAATGACCCACTACATATTGGGGCGGCACCAACTGGGCCAGGAGACCGCTGCTTCAACGTCCTTCTTGGCAGACACCTGCACCGGCACCAGGCGATTTTTGATGGACCTCTTCGACGACACAAACCGCCCCATATTAAAACGCACCCACCTATTGTGACTCAAGGTGACACGCATGTATATATATATATATATCATGTGAGCTGTAAAAGTTAAAAGTTATGTAATGATATAATTATATAGATACTATAATATATATGAATATCATATACATAAAAAAACAAAATATATTATCATACTATATATGTATATTTTTTTGTGATCCAAGCCAGGTGTTTTGTGCCAGCCGCTCCTTCTGAGAGCGCTTGGAAGACTTCTTTCTGGTGCTGCAGCCTCGGGAAACCCATCGAGGGACATTCGTAGGATCCATGGTGCTGGTATATATGCTAACATAAATGGGGTATATTGATGGTAAATGTTAACATATATGGCATACATGGATCCTATGGGTATGGATATAGTTATCATAACATATAATATTGTGTAAATATAGTATATATATAACTATATTATGTAAATATATTATATAGTTATATATATATATGCATATTAGATGTGTAAAAATTGTGGATTTTTTTTGAGTTTCGCCAGAAAGCCAAGAAGAATGGGACGTTTTGCAATGACCACTTTTTTCGGTATAGCTACAGCAATCCGCCTGGCTGGATCCAATGGATCCAATGGATCGAATCTGGATGCAACCACTTTGGTCTCCCAACAGAGATGAACCCAGCTGGCCCAGCATTTTTGGACCCAAGTACTGGCAAAACTCGATGCAAAAAGAGGAGTCCAAAGGCGTCGCAATGAAATTTGATAGCAAGATATCCTTCAACTTGTGCCTACATAACATAGCTATTGGAAATGGCCATTTAGTTCGTTGATTTACCTATAAAAGATGGTGGTTTTCCAGAAACCAAATCAGGAAATAGTAAACAAACAGTACAAAAAACATAGAAAAAAAAGAAACCAATGGCTCTCCAGAAGCTCCGCCACAAGTGACAACGTTCCAGAGAATTGGTGGTACACACTCCGTGCAGATCCACATTTTTGATGACCCCGTTGCAGACTAGGTTGGGGGATACGTTGGCCATGTAGAAGGCCATATAGATTGGGAATAAGATCCGCTTTGCAAACCTGCATTCTCTCGAAACCACTATGGTTGAAACTCCAATTCTGAACTTTGTTTGCTTAAAGCACACTTTTTGGGGTAACATCCCCAACCCAGAAGTGCCAGTAAATCCCTGATCACATCCCACGAGAGTGGTCAGTTGATTAGCATCCCCATATTATCCATAATCCACGACAAACCGGGTAGTATAAACCCCATGTCATAAGCAAATGTCATACGCAATAAACCATCATCTATCAACTATATTCCCATTTTTTTGATGGCAAAAACATCTAAAACAATGGTTTTTCACTGCCCTTGCTACCATTGCCATTGCTTCACCGAGAGACAAATGAAGGACAAGATGCACAGGCCGCAAAAAGCGATGCCCAAGCCGATCAACACCCAGGCCCACCTTGGTACAGATTCACTCAGCTCATCTGGAATTCAGATGGGATATCTTCTGGTTGGTGGCCTCAACCCCTCTGAAAAATATTAGTCAGTTGGGATGATTATTCCCAATATATGGAAAAATAGTCCAAATGTTCCAAACCACCAACCAGCTTGTATTGATATGTGTCTTGTGGGTGAATTGTGAGGAACATCATCTTCCAGTGTGGTCAGCTATTCTTCCAGCATTCCATTTTGACTTTCTTTGGAGGGTTTCCTGTGGGGGGTGTGAACAGCTCATCGAAGATCATCACGTTGCAGTGAGCCGATGCCAATAGATTTCCAACGAAGTTTGGATAACACAAGCGGCCCTGGACCATGGAATTGCCCCTCAAGAATTCTTGGAGATGCAAATTCCATCTGCCAGCCATGGTGATGTGATAAAAATACCACCATTCAGATTGTGACTGTAACCATCCATCTAGCCAAAAATGATAATGTTTCAGATTCTTTCACCATCCAGAAGCCATGAAGATTCAATTTTTTGAGGCTTTGTCTGAAAATATTCGGCACCCTCAATTCAAATGGGTTATCATCCCATTTTTCCATTGCCATTTTGGTGGTAGAAACCCTCTGATGATTCAACCAGCAGCAATGGAAGGAATCGCAGCATCAATGGGTGAATCATCGAACTGGGACAGTTTCATTCATCCCATGGTAGCTATGATAGTTTACTGGAGGCTATCCATATGAAATCTCTATTGGATAGCTATGAACTCTACCATAATTTAAGTCTCATTGAATTCTATGAAATCTCTATTAATCCCATCAAATCCTACCATCAAATCCCATGAAATACAGCCATATTCGCAGAAAACGTGTGCCGGGACGCCAGGGGAAGCTCGCTCCGGTGCTGCTATTTAAGGTCTGGCAGCGGATGCACCGAAAAACATGCTTTTGATGTAGAGATATGGAGGATTTTGCTGGGGGGATTCTGCTGGGGATTCTGCTGGGAATATGATCCTTTAATCCCATCCCCGGTATGAAACACCACCATTGTATGGTCCCAAATACCGACATACGCGTAAATCCATCCTAAACCATGGTTTAATATTAGGGGGAAGGGATTAATATGGTACATCGTATATATATATATAAATTATATATATATATATACCCATTTATACATAGCTCTCATGAATGAGCCTCTGCTAATCAAAGCCACATATCGATGGATTTTCCCACTGACCAGAACACTTCGGGGATTTCCCCGGCCAGTCGGCAGACAGTAAACAACCATTGGTCTCAAAGCCACACATAAATTGGACATATCCATTGGAAAACACCAATCATGCAAGGCGAATCTGAAACCGATGGTCACTTGAGATGCATTTGCTCAAGCTGATTATAATGCCTTTGGCCCCAATCTGGAAACTAGAATTCGTGGGAAGTTTTCAGAAAAAAACATTACGCAAAGAAATGAAAGAACTGATAGAATCATAAATGACAAGTTAATGACAAGCCCTCTCAGTGCTCATTTCCCTCAAGGGAGTTCCATTGTACGATTTCAGCCAAAAAGGATGGGCACCGCGGCACCTCGACCACCTTTCCCACTTTTCCACTCTTCACCTCCAAAGGATGCCCAAGTTTGTGCTGAGGTTTTCATTTTCGGTAGATGAATCATCTACCCTTTAGTTGGTGAAATGTTAGGAACATGTCTTTAAATGCACCCAGAAAACAAGGTGAAAACAACAAACAACTTCTGATTTGCAGTACATGCACGTAACAGTTTGAAAAAGTGCTATGGCTGCAGTTATCATTACCATGTCTGCTTCATATCCTATGTTTCGCTGGTTTTTCCGACCATTTTGAAATGGTGATACCTCAGCAAACATCACACATGGTTCCCACCGGCTCGTCCCACTTAACCATCAAACAAGCAGCCTCTTGATGTAGGCAATACTACCCCAACAACCATCAGACATGTTCCATTTCAGATTGAATACGCCCATGTCAGGATAGTTAAACCAGGTTACATTCCCAATTTTTGATGTGAACGCCGAATTTTCGCCTTTTCATATGCAAGTCAAATCCATTTTTCGAAAATTTGGATGCTTAAATCCACAATTTTGATGGTTGAACCCTCTATAAACAACCATAGTTTTGCATCCCGTACGGGTGACTAAGTCTCAAATGATGCGTTGGTTAAATCCCAGATTTTCCGAAATTTGGATGGTCAAACCTCCAGAAATCGCCCATGGGTATTGACCCCGATTAATTAACCATTCAATAGAGTTATCTTTTGTGGCTCAAATGAGCACTGTGCAAAACCATCTGCTGTTCCTTTGTACCGCCTGGTTGGTCGGGATTTCCATGGGTTCTGATCAGCCCCAATATATTGGATAGTATAATCCCCGAACTAATCACCAACCAACAATCATTTGTCAGCTATATCCACTTATATCCAGATGTTTTGATGATAACAATCCATATTTTCCATGACTATAATATAATCATGATTTATCATCAACCAACAGGGGTTTACCCTCTGGTATAATTTGTTACATAGCTATTGAACATGGCCCAGTCGAAATAGTTGCTTTTCCATTGAAAATAGCATGGTGATTTTCCCATCGTTTTTTTGTATGTTTACCAGGGGGTAACTATGTCTATCTCCCAATTTTGATGCCAAAAAAACAACTTTTTTTTTTACAAAAAAAAACAAACGGTGGCCTCGTCCACCACCGTCTCCACCGCAATCTCATCGACGTCCCCGGGGCACCTGCCGAGGCGAAGCGATGCTGAAAAATTGGGGGTTGAACCATGGGTCCCATGGGGATTTTCCATCACAACCGGGGATTTTGATGAAGAATTTCTATGGTCTTAACATGTGTTAAGCATCAAAACAAGGAGAACCACTGGATTTTGAGTTATCCAAAAACTGGACAAGCCCCTCTTTTTCTGGCTGCATCTCAGCTCCCCATCGCCAGTGAGGTGCCTCACAGGCCCGCTGACCACACCATCGAAGGTCACATTCCTTGGCGCTATTTCTCTCATGCCAGGGGTGTCACTTCCCAAGAATATGGAGGTTTCATTCGGTTTCTTAATGGCTGGCGTACCCCCAAGTCACCATAGGTTTCAATACAAAAATGTTCGAATGACTTGGATGATTTGGGGTACCATGACTTAGGAACCTCCTAAGTCATGGGTGTACTTCCGCCCAGCATCTTGATGGCAGTGGAACTTTGAAGCCAGCATCCTCGCGCACAACGGAGAGGGAAATGACAAGGAAACGCAAAACGGATGTGATTAACAAACGTCAGGCTCTGTGGATGTCCATCAATGCACATCTCATTTTGTCTGCAGAAAAATATATCACTGATTTCATATGCATATGATCAGACAAGCAAAACAATTCCGACACAAGAAACATGCGAACAGGCGATCCCTGCGGCCCCTCCCAGTGCTTCACGCACGGAGTCCTTTGGTATCTGGGTACCTCAGGGTGCTGTGACCAGCTTCAAAACATCTTGGTCAATTGGGGATGGGTCAAAACCCTGGTACCTAGTGAACACCAAGATAGCTGGGATTTATGGATGTGAATAACCCACTAAAAATGTATCTATAGGTATTGACCCATACCCAATTGGAAATCAGGCCACCAAGGTCAAGGTCAGTGCAGCTGAGGTGCCACGTAAAGAAAGCGCAAATGTCTGTGCGTTTGCAATTGTCCTGGTGAAAGTGGGCCAGGAGATGTTGGGTACGCGTTGGCAATGGCCCACCATTGATATTTCACAACAAAAATCTGTAAAAGCCAATCAGTCTCCTGCTTCTCACAACAAAATAGCTGGCTGGTTGGTGGTTTCAATCCTATACCTACCCCTCTGAAAAATATGAGTCAATGGGAAGGATGACATCCCAATATATTATGGAACATAATCCATTCATGTTTGAAACCACCAGCTGGTTTTTCTGGATGTTTACACAGGTTACCCTCTGGTAATTTAACGTAGCTATTGAAAATCACCATTGAAATTGTGGATTTTCCCATTGAAAAATGGTGATTTTCCATAGTTATGTTAGTTTACCAGAGGTTAATTAACCTATGGTTACTGGGAGATCCTTTAAGGGATGTTCATATCCCCCTCCAAACATTGACCCATCTTCCCAACTCCTGGCATTCCTTGGCATCATCTGTGGTAGTGTGCTGCTCCCTCGGGGACAAACGCTCCAAACTAATGCCTGGTGTGTCAATGTATGATGTGTCAATGTAATATGATCCAATGATCCAACTTTCGGCATTTCCAGTAGAATCATCCAGTACTTTTGGATCATCTTTGGGATCCCGAATTTTTTCAGTGATCAATTTAGGGTGTATGAGTTGAAATGAAGTGGACAAAATCACCAACTCCAATTCCAATATCTTGTGATGATTGTGATGGAAAAAAATGCACACTTCGAATCAAAGATCGACTCTTGATGGGAAATTCACCAGTGTAACCGGGGTGGATCCCTTCCCACATCGTTGGATTCCACTGGTACGAGGTCCATGCCCGTTCACCAGGTCGCTGTAGCCTGGCAGCGAAAACGTCCAATTGTCATCTGGCAATGTGTCCCCAAAAAAGGGGTCTTTCACCCGTTGGGAACTTTTCTCTCTTTTTGGTCAGACTTTGTTGTATGATTAAAAACATATATGTCCATCCAACAATGGTTGGTGCCGAATGATTGAGGCACCCTCATTCTGTTTGCCGCCAAGCTGGTCTTTGGCCACGGAAATTGACCGTGATATATCCCACTTGGATCCATTGGGTAAAAGTGACCCCTTCGTACCCTGGCGATGACATCAAAAAATTCAACGGAATAGATGATGCTGGGATACTGCGCTGTTTGGTGAGTTCAATCCCCCTTGAAAAATAGAAGTCATGGGGGATCATCAGTCCAGGTAGGGATGAACATTTAAACATATTCGAACCCAACGACCAGCCTACATATCTCATCAGTTTTGCCAGTTATACCCAGCTATATCTCCAACTTGGGATAGAAAAATACTCATTTTGCTTCTTCGTTCGTGGAGTTTTAACCCGCTGCCATACGGCTCTTCAGCATTGCCGCACTATGTTTCGCCTGTACCCACCGTGGCACAGACCGGGGTCTCACCCGTGCAGGGCACCTGCGATGGAGTGATGTAACGTGGAGCACAAAGAACCCCAATCGGTGGAAGATTTTTCCTACGAAGAACTTGGGATTTTCCATTTTTAGCCTAGATTGTCAAAGGACACATGCGCTCGCAGAAAACAGTTGATTTTTTGGTCTGAGAATATGATCTTCTCTTGGGTGCTTCTGATCTGAAAACACCTGTGAATTTGGGAGAGAGGGGCGCATTCCTATGGCGGCTGATTACATGCGAAGTTTTTAACAACCCAAGTGTGACGTCACGGAACTATTCACGCAACTATTTCTACTACAACTGTTGGCCTGCAGAGTTCCCCAAAATTGGGAGATATTATGATATATTGGGGTGATCCAAGATATTATCAATCATTCACCATACCACCCAATCTCTGGGATATATCTTGGAATATAGAATATAGATACCACATACCATATAAAATGCATATAGCATATTTACCAAATAAGATAGAATGATATATCAATCCATGATACATCAACCATCAACCATACCACTCAAAATGGGATACCATCACATACCCACTAATCATACCATCATATTCCCATCATATACCATATATACTAGTACCACATACCATATACCTAACATATTGACCAACCAAATACCAATGGTTCAATGGATATTCCCACATAGATAGATATATATACCATATTGGGTTAATCCGGTTAATCCATGATATCAACGATTCATCATACCAGCCAATCTCTGGGATATATCTTGGAATATAGATTTTTTTGATACCACATACCAATCCATATAACTCACATATTTACCCAATATCTGGGATACCAACCATCTCCCGTTCCTTTTCGCAGATTCTGCAGATTGCTCAACGCCCTTCGCGGCAGCACTTCCAGCAGCTCCGTCAAGGGCGCCGCCATGCGGCCCAAAGCACAGGCGTCCGCGGCGGCGGCGTAGGTGAGGACCTCGATGTGACCCAGGGGACAAGGGGAAATCCATGGGGAAACCGTGGAAAAAACGTGGGAAAAGCCATGGGGAAAAGCCGAATCTGGGAGAATTCATGGGAAAAATTGGGGAAAACTGGTTGAAGCCTGGGAGAGATGGGAGAAACCCAGGACAAAAATGGGGAAACGCAAGCAAAACAATACGGTTCCAAGAAGTCTTGGGCGGAAAACACCAATGAAAATGGAAGAACAAACATGTAGCTGGGGGTTAAAGGCCAGCAAAACTGGGTGATGTGCCGCAACACACTTGGGGATGTGCCGTGATATAAGCACTTGGAAGTGGGCTGGAAAACGTTTGATACTGGGGTTGTTGAGCTGATGCTGTCCCAAGTGGGAAGCAGCCCAGCTCCAGCCTTCTAAGGATCCTCTGTTTCCAGTTGACTTGAGAGTTGCCCCCCATCAATGTAAGATATGGGTTTGTCCAGACATGGTGTGACCCCAAATGGCAATTTTCATGGAGAAGACGATTTTCTTTTCCCATTTTGAGGTGTCAACCCTTCTCAACCTTAGCATCGTTGCCATGCCCGGTTCTAGGGACGATTGCGGCTGGGGCACGTCCACGGGTGCAAAGGTCTCTTGCAGATTCTGAAAGAAAGCCAGGGCCAGCTGCCACTCTTCCGCCTGCTTTGACCGAGAGGTGTTGGCCCCGAAAATGTGAAATGGGTTTCAGTCAAACGTCTTTAACCACCAAAATTGGTATGCAGGTCTGCGCATAAAAAATCTGTTTTAAAATGGGATAGTTTGGGATCCTAAGAATGACCAATATGTGCGGGTCGCAAAGCCCTAACGGGCTTTGGGCAACATCGCAACTCAACATGTACTGATCAGGGAATTCTAGATGATTATCCGTGGGTTTATCCCTATGGGGTCTCATGCCAATATGACGACTTAAAATGGATGGCTGGGGCCCTATGACCATCATTTCGCAGAAAACAGGTGAACTATTTAGATGGAGGAAACATGAGGAAACCCAGGAAAGAGTGGAGTGGTTCCTGTTTAATCGAGAAACTGATGGAAGATGTCCATCCCTGGTTGGTAGCTGGGATGAACTTCCAAATATAGCTTCAGGCAATCAATCACAAAATCAAATAAACCCAGCACTATACTATAGACTATACCTTTCATTTGATATCCAAGTTCTTCAATTGGGTGGGTCTTAAAATAAGGTACCCTTAAAAATCCACTGGTGAATCATCCATGTCGCCCCACCTTGCGGTAGGCGCTGATCACGGCGTTGCAGGTGATCGAATTCCTTGTGCTGCTCCACTTTTTTTGGGGGTTTGGTGGGAGATCCTCCGATCATCAACCCATTTTAGATGGGGAAATGCCGAAAATCGATGCTTTTTGGGATGGGGAAATGGAGGAAGAAATTGATGTTCTGGGAGAAAAAGATCATCACAATTATGGGATGTTCCACTGCCAGATTGGTTCTGACAGGAAACCTTGGCCTGGACAACGGTTCTCCAATGTGGGGGGTAATCATATACCCTCTGGTAAACTAACATAGCTATGGAAAATCACCACTTTTAATGGGAAAATCCACTATTAATGGCAATTTTCAATAGCTACGTTAAATTGCCAGAGTGTACATATCTGAAAAATACTAACGGTGTATAAATGGTGGATCGTCCAATGTCACCCCAGGAGTGCACCCAACAAAAACATACTGGAAGAGGTGATCAGGCTAAAATTTCTTACTTTTTTGAGACATTTGTTGAGCACTTCTTCATTCTATAACCTGGTGGCGCCAAAACATCCCTGCCACCCTTCCAGTCAATTTTTCAACATCGGATCATACCTTGGGAAACAGTTCACCACATCGAAACCACCCACCACAAAAAACCACGTGCGAAACCGTGCTCCGCCAAGGGTCGCTTCCATCTGACAGCTCTGCAGCTCATCCAACAAGGCCTGGACCTCGAGGAGTGGCTGTCACAGTTGAAGTTAACACGCTAGGAATTCATGATTGGAATCTACATGTTCTTTATGATGCCATACTTGCAGGATTGGAATCGCCAATAATTCAAGTCAACGTTGATGATTTCACTTGATACAAATCTGCCGATCCGCAGGGGGAGCCAGGAAAAAAAGATCTCAGATGGCAAGACCATCAGCATCGGTCTCGGTGGATCACGGCCTCACCCTAGGGGATCCATGGAGTCCATCAGAGTTGAGGCGGGCGTGGACGTCAGTGGTTCACTGAAAATGTGTTCACACCAGACGGATGGTTCTGACAAGAATTCCCAAACGGAAGCCAGAGGTTGCTGTGAGGTCGCTAAGAATTTGGTCAAACATCCATTTTGGTTGGTTCATTCCCATTTTTTTCTGATTACATCCACCACTTTCTTCCAAAAAAATGGATTTTTTGCTGCTTGAAACCAACCACAAGGATGGCACCTGTCGCCATTCTTCACATTTCCCACAGGCTGTGATCAGAGCTGCATAGGTGATGATGCTACCTGCTTTGCGACTTTGCGAGGCAGCCCATGGCACTGGAAACCCTGCCAGTGTGCCAGTTTAATTGGTATTTGACTTCTTTACAGGGGACAAGCAGTAACTAGCAAATATGAAAAAAGGTATACATACCAGTGCATGTACATATTTACATGTCAATCCAAAACAGCTACTGACACATGAATAAAGGGATCCCACGGTTCTTTAATACATCATTTATATACACCATAATACATCCATACTACATCCAGAGTAGATCCATATACCATGTCCATTTTATACACCATATATTGCCATACACTAAATTTGGACCTGCCTCGTTGCTTCATGAGGCTCAGTAGATGCAGGGCCTTCCTCCATTGGAAGCCCTTCTCACAGGCACTGATGGCCTGGAGATATCTCATCCGAGAGATCGCTGGTTTCCAACTTTGCAAAAGTAGGAATGGTGGAGTTATACCCTCTGGTAATGACTAACATAGCTATTGAAAATCACTATGTTTGACGGGAAAATCCACTATAAATGAATACTCATGATATGTTTGGTTGAGCTTGACTCTCAACTAAAAAAAACCCATTGATGCTTCAAATCTCTACTTTTGTTTGGCTGAAAAAACCTCCATTTCTGCTGGTTAAACACCAGGTTTTGCTGGTAAAACCAAGAGTTCAGGTAAAAACCACCATTTTTACAGGCCAAATACTCAAATTTCATGGTTTCACCAGTGTTTCACCAGCCATGGACTTAGTAATTGGATCTATCCCCAGGTGATCCGTACCATCCCGGCACCGCGTTGTAGGCAATGGCATCCATCTGAAGGGCCAACTTCTCCATTTGCCTCGGGGGCATGGTTCCAGCCATGGATTTCCGGACATATCTAGGGTTAATCGTCAGTAACAGCGTGCACAAAGGTAAGACTAGACATATGATCCTGGTGACTAGCAATGTGGCTTTGGGGTTGACACAAGGTATAGTAAGTAACGAAAAATTGAGGTCAACCAATGAACATGATTACATAATCCACGAATAGTGGGGAAAACTGGTTGGAACCCTTGTGATGGATCAAACCGCTGGTGAACTGTTTGTTTTGACGTCAAAAGGTGGTAGTTATGGAGTGTCATCCCCCTAAAATATCGGAAAACCGCAGGTGCTGACGCAAAGCTACAGTAAGGAACTAAAACCATCCCATTTTGGAAGGTAATTGCCCAGTTTTTTTTTGGCAAGAAATGGGGATAGTATATGATAGTATACTAACCATCTGAGATTATGTTTTCGAGATTAACCATGAGTGGTATTTGCCCCTTTTTGCTCAGGTTGAAGGGTGCGGTTGTTGCAGAGTTTTGTGGGAGCCACCTGACATTTTGCGGGCTGTCATCCATTCACAACAAGTTGGCAGAAATTCTGCAGAGGTTGAAGAGTTGCGCAAACATGGATTTTATGATTCAAATAATTCCGTGCCATAAATTGAAACGCGATGATCTCACCTCTTTAAATGATTTTAAATAGTGCTTAAACAGGTCTTGAACGAGTAGAATATAGTGGCAAAGGTATCCAGTTGGTATCTCCACATCTAGTTGCGCAAAAGAACCAACCATCTCAAGCTGACCTTAGATTATTCTCATCAAAATTGCAGAACAAATACCAGCAATAAATGAATATAGACATAGACAATCCACCAGTTGCAGATGGGGAAACCATCTGTTTTCCATATCGTTTAGTTAGTTTACCTCAAGGAAACCAGCCGGACCAAGTGACCAAAGGAGATCCAGTGCCAAAGGCCATTGAAAGCCTCGCCGAGCCGAGGCTTTGCAGAAAATATGTCGCTTTTTTGGGGGACAATGATGGTGATTGCTATGTAAAATCTCATGAGATTTCATGATTTATTGCCATTTTCATTTTCATTTAGATGGGAGAAATAAGGATCTGTGATGTAGCCCTGGAATCGGTCTGATCTTCCAACAGGGCCAATTCTCTGCTAAGTTATCATTGACCTGGTGGATTAAGAACACTGGGATCCGAATGTCTCATCTACATGGCGGAAGTTCGAACTAGCTAGGTTTGACAGATAGCTCCTATGAAAAATACTCACACCAAAAGCGTTGCAGGAATCCTGCATCAACAGTCTTCACCAAAGCTTCACAAGGCACCTGTCTGCCTGTGATGTTGCACAATATTACGATGTGTTTAACTGTGGCTATAGGCAACAAGCCGTTCGCAAGATGGATGAAAATCACACAGCATATTCCATCCAAACCTCCAAACTAGGTAGACACACAACCTTGTGTATATTGTGCCATCAAAATGGTAGCAACAAAACAAGTATTATTTGGTTTATCAATGCTTTTTATTACATTATCAAAAATTATTACATCAAAAATGGCAAGCAACTTTAAAGAAATCACCAACTATTCACCACTTACTTTCCCCATTATTTGTTCATGATATCATCAGCTAAATTGTCAAACACTCCCTAATATGGCTATATGACCTTTAGTGATATATTCCATTCCAAATACATATCCTAGTACATACATACAAATTATTATCACTATTCACTGTTTGTATTTTACTACTTCCCATGTGGCAAGCTCCCATTCAACACCGCATGTTATATGATATATCATGATATATAGGTGTTCCATGATAGTTATATATTATATATATACCCTCTGGTAATTTAACATAGCTATTGAAAATGACCATTTATAGTGGATTTTCCCATTAAAAATGGTGGATCTTTCCATAGCTATGTAAGTTTACCAGAGGGTATACACCCAGTATATATGCACCACCCACGATCGAAAGTGCCTTTCTCACAGGCGCTGATGGCAGCGCTGCAGGTGAACTCATCACAACGTCCTGGTGGGAACCCCATGGGCAACTGGATGAGAATCCGCATTTTACTTATATATTGGATATATATATACATATACATACACATAATGTAGTATATATATGTATATGTGGTATATATATATATGTATAGATATAGTGTATAACTGGCTTTTGTCACAGCATTTATAACCTAGTTCTATATTTACATAGGATGAAGCACTGATCATCATCACAACTCCTACTAGATCCAGCTATCAATACTAGATCATACATAAACGATGGGTTTATATTCATATGATTGGTTCTATCTATAGGGTTTAGAACCAGGTTGCATCTAGGAGCAACTTATATAAATGGGTCCATACCATCATGCGCGGAGTAGGGTTAAAAACCAAAAACCAAGTGCAAGACAAGGGATCAAAGTGATCTAAGCAGAAAAGATGTGCACTTAACCCAGGTCCCTAGTTTGCGATATATCCAACTTTCATTGTGCCAATCAACGCGCGTAAATCCCAACCCCAACAAACTTGAAACAGTTTCATCAACAACCATGGAATATAGTAGAATCTGCAGATGAACAAGGACATTTCACGAACAATGAGTCCATTGCTATGATGTAAGTGGATTTCTCGGATTTATACCCAGTTTCATATGTATATATATATATATAATCATATTTATGTATATATATATATACAATGATATATATATATACACATAAAGTCATAAAGGACAAACCTCCAATGGCGAATAGCACCCAAACTGGCGTCTCCTCCCATCAACCGGAAATCTTCCAGGAGTTGCAAAGCGATGGCCCACATGGCCGACCTCATGGCGACAGCCTTCAAGATGTCGCGAGAGGGTTAATTCCATTAGCATACGGCATATATATATATTACAATATATTATAATATTGAATATTGTGTATATGGTTGAACATTTTTGAAAGTTATTTTCAGTATCATCGATATCCGCATCAACACGGCACCAGCAGGCTACCAATGTACCCAACCCATCGACGTCAGGACACTTTTCACAGGCAGAGATGAGAGCGTTGAAGCTGATGCGATCCGCCTGGTGCGGCAGAACCCTCTGGGATCCAGGACTTTGGGGATCTTCATGGGTAAAAAAATGGTAAGAGCCTCCCCCAAAGTGGGGATATAACACCTACAACTATGGTTACATGACCATTTACAATCCCAACTGCACCTGCAAGTACTCTGGATGTGCATTGGTGATTTGTTGTTTACCTCTTATTTATCAACCGCACTTTTTCAGTTGCCGTTTCAAAGGAACATCGGAGGGAACTCGGTTTCTTTGAGAGAGTTGTCGCAGGTGTTGGCTAGAAAACCCCAAACTGGACAGATTTCCGGGAATTCCAATTGGATCTTCATGTCAAACCAAGTTTTGGCCTACGAATCCTTTCCACCACCCCAGGTATCCATATATCCCATGGTCCTGCACGGTATAGCCATGCATGTCGGACAGGATGCATATAGCACTTTGCCAATGTCCAGATTTCTCCTGAGCCGGGACCAAAAACTGCTATGATCAAGGCACCTGGGGCTATTGGGCCACAGGAAACTGAAGTATGGTCATCTTAGCTCATCTTACTGTATATCCCCATAAGCCAAACCAACTACGCACTTCCAACCCTCGATGGATGGTTATCCTCCATTTTGGGGTTTTTGGATAGTTGAAACCAACACATGTCGCAAGCAGCCATAGACCAGCCCCAACCAACCAGCAGTGGATTGTTTTCAAACCATCCCCCTGCAAAAAGAAGGTTTATGGCATTGGGTTTACAACAATCGGAACTGGATGTTGAGAACCTTCAAGACAAAAACTCCAATTGGGGACCCAGAACAACAATTTTCATCGGTAAAACCACCATTCTTTCAAGGCAAAAAAACATGTAACACCAAACTGAAAGCCATTCTGACGTTCAAAATCAGCTACATCGAAATCATATTTTCTGATGGTTTTCCGGGGTTTTGGATGGTACCTCCCATTTGTTGATAGGAAAAACATCAAGTCGCTGCTGCACTGATGGCTGCATTGAAGGCCACCACGTCCATCTGCTGCCGTTGCTGTAGGAAGTCGTGCAAGAAGTGTAGCGCCATGGTCCAGAGCGCCTCAAAACTGGTTCCATGGAATGGTGGCCAAGGGCACCGAGGCACCCATGGATGGAGATCTCCAATCAACATGGGATTTAACTTACAAAAATTGGGGGCTTTAACCTATCGTTTGGGACTGAACCAGCAAAAAACATAAAACAAGGGGGGGCCTGAGAACCCAAAAGCAAAACGACAGCAAACAAATGAGAGTAATACTGATAATTGGTTTATTTCTTTTTCGCCTCTTGCCAGCTTCTTTTTAGAAGATGAACATTATGGACGCATTCACTGCAAATTTCATTTTTCCCCACCTGCCAGGTGAGGGTTGTTTGATTTTATCAGAGTTGTTCTCCTCGGCTAGCTGTCCTCCTCGTCCTCGTCCTCCTCCTCCTCCTCGTCCTCCGCCTTCTCCTCCTCCTCTGCCTCCTCCTCCAGTTTCTCCTCGATCATGTCTGCATCAACTTCCACCTCAACTTCCGCCTTGCCAACTCTTCGCCAAGCTCTTTGCCAACTTCCCAGCTCAGTGCACCGGTGGACCTCAACCTGGGACCAAACCAGCTCAGTGTGCACCGCTGGACCTCAACCTGGGGATCTGCCCAGCTCAGTGTGCATCGCTGGACCTCAACCTGGGACCTTCCCAGCTCAGTGTGCACCGCTGGACCTCAACCTGGGACCTTCCCAGCTCAGTGTGCACTGCTGGACCTCAACGGCCAGATAGAATACCAGAAGATATGCCAGATAGAGTGTTAGAAGATATGTCAGATAGAATGCCATAAGATATGCCAGAACATATTGCAGAAGATATGCCAGGTATAATGCCAGAAGATATGCCAGATAGAATGCCAGAAGATATGCTAGATAAAATGCCAGAAGATATGTCAGATAGAATGCCAGAAGATTTGCCAGTAACAAAACGTATAAATATCATGGTGGGGATAACTCGAAGTAAAGTAATTTCAGCTCTGCGCGGAAACATTGAGTGACAGTGTGCAATAGCCAAGCAAGCTCATTTGAGCACGGTCATGCGACGGCGGCTGATTTCCAAATCAACCTCTCACCTCTCCTTTCCTTTCCCTTCCTTCCCTTCCTTTTCCGTCCTTTCCCTTCCTTTCCGTTCCTTTCCCTTCCTTTTCCGTCCTTTCCCTTTCTTTCCCTTCCTTTCCCTTTCTTTCTGTTCCTTTCCCGTCCTTTCCATTCCTTTCCCTTCCTTTCCCTTCCTGTCCCTTCCGTTCCCTTCCTTTCCCTTTCTTTCCCGAATGCATAGCAAGGGTTCCCGTTGCCCAACCGTCCGCAACCACTCGCAACCGTCCGCGCGATTGCTATATGGCCGTGCCTCTGGTAAGTTCTCCAAAAGGGGTAATTTTTGCGTTTCGCGTGGCAGGCGTGGCACTTCGTGACATTCAGACGTGTTTTGTAACGTGTCGAAAGTCATTTTGTGTGGCAGGCGCAATACTTTTGCGACGTTTTCAGAAGATGCGTTGCAGTTTTCGTGGCAGGCGCAGCACTTTGGACGTGTCCATCGTCATTTTGCGTGGCAGGCGCAGCGCTTTAGACGCGTCGTGTTGCGTGTTTTTTGCGAATCGCATTGGCAGGGCTGCGTCAAGTGGCGACAAGGTGCAGATTCCGTGGCAGACGTGGTATTTTGTGAAATGTGCTGAAAATTGACGGAAGCCTCCCACAAAACATCGATTTTGAGGTAGCAAATTTAAAGGCTCGTACGATCTCGTACGAAAACTCGTAGGAAAACATCAATTTTGAAGCTACAAAGTGTGAAAATTGGAGGAAGTCTCGCACGAAAGGCTCATTTTGATGCTCCCACATCTCTCGTCTCAAGTCTCCGGTTTTCCTGTGGCGTCGCCGTGTGTATGGGGGAAGCTGCAAAATCTCTCCTTTTCGGAGGTTTCCAATCAAGTTGTCATGTCGTTTTGCGTGGCAGGGGTGGCGCTTTACACTCTACACTCCGCACTCTACACTCCACACTGCACACTCTACACTCCACCACACTCTACACTTTGCACACTCCTCACTCCACACTTTACACTTTACACTCTACACGCCACACTCCACACTCGACACTTTCCACTCCACACTCTACACTCCACACTTTACACACCACACTCCTCACTCCACAATTTACACTTTACACTCCTCACTCCACACTCTACACTTTACACTTTGCACTTTCCACTCCCCCTTCACACTCTACACTTTACACTCTACACTCCACAATTTACACTTTGGACTCCACACTTTAAACTTTGCACTCCACACTTTACACTCCTACACGCTCCACACTCTACACCCCAAACACCACCACACTCCACACTCTACACCCCACACTCCACCACACTCCACCACACTCCACACTTTACACTCCACACTCCGCAAACTACACTTTCCACTCCACACTCGACACTTTACACTCCACACTCCTCACTCCACAAATTACAGTTTACACTCCTCACTCCACACTCTACACTTTACACTTTGCACTTTGCACTCCTCACTCCACACTTTAAACTTTGCACTCCACACTTTACTCTCCACACTCCGCACTCTACACTTTACGCTGTACGCTTTACACTCTACACTCCACACTTTACATTTTTGACTCCTCACTCCACACTTTACATTTTTGACTCCTCACTCCACACTTTACATTTTACACTCCTCACTCCACACTTTACACTCCACACTCCACACTCTACACTTTACACTCCACACTTCACACTCTGCACTTTCCACTCCACACTCCACACTCTATACACTTTACACTCATACTGTGCACTTTACATTTTTCACTCCACACTTTACATTTTACACTCCTCACTCCACGCTTTACACTCCACACTCCACACTTCCCACTTTACACTCCACACTTTACACTCCACACTTTACACTCCACACTCCTCACTTTACACTCCACACTACACACTCTACAGTTTCCACTCCCCACTCTACACTTTACACTCCACACTCCTCACTCCACACTTTATACTTTACACTCCACACTTTACAGTTTGCACTTTACACTCTACACTTTACACTCTACACTTTACACTTTACACTCCACACTCCACACTTTACACTCCACGCTTTCCTCTCCACGCTTTACACTCCACACTTTACACTCCACACTTTACACTCCACACTTTTACGCTCCACACTCCGCAGTCTACACTTTACACTCAACACTCTACACTCCACACTTTACCCACTGCACACTCCACACTTTACACTCCACACTCCTCACTCCACACTCCACACTTTACACTCCACACTTCCCACTTTACACTCCACACTCTACACTTTACACTCCACACTCCACACGTTACACTCCACACTCCGCACTCTACACTTTACACTCTACACTCCACACTCTACACTGTCCACTCCACACTGCAGACTGGTAACAGGGGAAATATGTATATACAAGACTGTTCAAATAAACTTTTGCAGAAAATTGTTCTGAGTGACTGCATATCCATTAAAATACGTGTGAGCATTCGGGTTCGTGGGCTGCATCTTGTTCTTCTCCCCACCCATTTCCAGCCACTCACTTGCACCCACGCCGTCCGCAGCCGTGAACGCAATTCTCCGAACCCATTTCCCGTCCGCAGCCGTCCGCACAGCCAAGCTCGCTCATCCCCAGCGGCTTCTTCTCCCCACCCATTTCCAGCCACTCCCTTGCACCCACGCCGTCCGCAGCCGTCCGCGCAATTCTCCCCAACCATTTGCCGTCCGCAGCCGTCCGCGCAGCCAAGCTCGCTCATCCCCAGCGGCTTCTTCGCCCGAACCATTTCCAGGCGCTCCCTTGCACCCACGCCGTCCGCAGCCGTCCGCGCAATTCTCCGCACCCATTTGCCGCCCGCAGCCGTCCGCGCAGCCACTCCCTCGCACCCTCGCCGTCCGCAACCGTCCGCGCAATTCTCCACACCCATTTGCCGTCCGCA